TGTATGTGTGTGTGTGTGTGTGTGTCTGTATACACACACACACACACACACACACACATATCCGCATGCCATAGGATTATATTGACAGAGAGAGAGAGAGAGATCCTGCATATACATACACGTATATATGTGTGTATGTATATGGAAGATTACTTGACAATTTCTCATCTTGACAGAATCACAAAATGTTGGGGCTGGAAGAGATTTAAGAGATCATCTGTTTCAACCCCTTTATTTTACAGATGAGAAAACTTCAATTCAAGTTACCCAAGGAAAGTAAGCAGCAGAGCTGAGACTAGAACCCATGTCTCTTTCAAAGACAGCAAGTAGATCATTTTAAAAACACAACTGTATTTTCATTCCTATTTCCTAAAGGGTATTTCCAACTTTTAATTCAACTAAATATAAATGAATTAAGCCTACTTCTGTGATGAAAATGTAAGGCATGACACAGAGATCCAAAAAATTAACTAAGAAAAGGAATGTGTAATAAAAACAAAAATGCTAACTTTACCAAAACATAAGCCAGTTTCAACAAATTAAAGACTGTAAACCAATCAAATGATTTATAAATATGTTGATGATTTTTTCCCTAAAAATCAGGCTTTACGTATTATCTTCAGAGACACTGAGCAGGAATCTCCTACGCTCTTTTCATAATTGCTGCAAAGGGCACCAGGGTTCACCACATGCACTACTGCTTGTCACAACCTTCCCTTTGTTTATATTCCCAACAATGCAAAAACAGCTGCTTCCTTTCATCTGCTGTTTCTACTTTCATTACCCCCTTTAAGGAAATCTTCTAAGATTTACCTTATGACAACAGAGGCTGTCAAAAGGATCTGGATATACAGTGCTGCTTTCTAGAACCCATGTGACAGTAAAAAATTTAATTTGGTATTTCTGACTTGAAAGAAAAAAAACAATAATGCCTGAGAAGGAATATTTAATTATGCAGACACAACAAAGAATTAAATGGAAGGGTTTTATCCTTCTCCCCCCTCACCTCTGATTAATGAAGGATAGCATTTTATAGGTATAGCAACTACACATTGTAATAGCAGAGGAGAGTACAGATTTGAAGGAGGAAATTTATTTTTACATACACTGCAATGGCTTTGCAATGAGGATATTCTTTGACAGATCATGTGTTTTAATTTTCATTAATTTTAATTTGGAAAATATGATTATCATCTTTATAGGAGGCTCCTTATATGTCAATAATGATTAATGAGGGTGATATTCTTATTCTAGGAAAACCAACATGTAGAACTGAGCCTGGATCCTAAAAGAAAAGGGTTGATAAAAGCATTTATCAAGTTTTTAAAAATATGCTCAAATGTAAATAATTGTGAAAAGTTTATCAAGTTAACCAAATTACATGAAAGGTCAAAGCATTCTGAGCTAGATGGAATCCCTTAGCCCACTACTCTCATTTTATAAAGGCCAGAGAATTCAAATGATTTGCTGAAAGTCACCAAGGTAATAAATAGCAGAGTCAGGATTTGAATTCAGGCCCCCTTACTCCTAGTTCAGTTATTTTCCCCCACTATATCACACTGCCTCTACATGGTCTCCAGCTCCAATAAGACAAAGTGGGGGAAGGCATCATGCTTCATTATAGCTTATCAGTGTTTCCACAATTTTTACATCACTAGTTCTAAATTTTCTTTCCATTGGTACAAAGTCTATGGAAGATATGGGATAATGACAGCTGACACTTGGGAGGACCAAAATGACATCACTACAACTGGGTCAAGGTACATAAATAGTCCAGCTAACCCTTACAACGGTGTTTTAAGGCTTATTAGGTGTGTGGTTGACATTACTTCATTTAAGGGCTTAAAGTTATTATTATCCCCATTTCATAGATGATAAATCTGAGCTTTGTCCATGTCCTTGGAGTATAAGAGGCAAGATTTTCACCCTAGGTGTACCTGACTCCAACTCCAGTCTTCTATCTAGGATGCCACACTATTTCTCTATGGGATGGTAGACTGACTGACTTAATCTATTTAGGAGGCAGGACAGTATAACTATAAGACAGTGTGATATACAACAGAAAGAGACCAAGATAGAAAACCAAGGTTAAAAACCTTACTGCTATTTAGGGGTGTGTGACCTCTGGCAAGTCAATTGAACATTGCTGTTCCTCGTTAGATAGGGAGTTCAGTTAAGGCATAGGACTGTTGTGAAAATCAAGTGAGATAAAAAAAAATTGCCAAAGCTATTTACAAATTTTAAAGTACTTTACAAATATGGAGAGACAGCAAGCCAGTGGATAAAAAGCCAGCTTTGGAAATTGAAAGATCTGTTTTCAAGTCTGGCCTATGACACATATTGGTTGTGATACCCTGGGTAGATTATATCACCTCTTTAAGACCTGCATTGGTGGAGAGAATTTCCATCATCCAAGGGGTTCCCTATACCAAATTAACAGTCAACTCTCTACCGTTTATCCCTTACAAATCTGTAAGATATCATTACTAACATTTTGGTTCCAAAATTAATGAAGTGAGTCAAAGATTAAAACCTTTACTTCATGATTTTAAGGTAAAAAAATTTAAAGGAAAGCAAATACAGTGGGAAATGTACTGTAATGGATAATGCAATATAAGGCAGCTTATTAATGAATATACTGTAAATAATTAGTCGTTTGAAAGACTTATGGCAGTTTCACATTTCAGGCAATCCCAGATATTGAACCCAGGAGACAGTACTGTAGTACAAACACAACACAACAGAAAGAATACATAACTAAACAGAGTTCATAATTCAATTACTAATTGCTAATAACAGAAGAATTTTGGATAGTGCTGCTTTAACGGATCTACCAGTTCTTTTACCTGCTCTTCATTTCTACCGAAAGGCAAAGAAGATTTTTTTAAAGGACAGTGATTTCATTGGCAAAGACAGTGCCCAGTAATCAAGCTCCCTCTTCCAATACAAGTCAGCACTTTCTCTGAGATGTACCATTTTAAAGAGTTTCCAAGAGCATTGAGAAGTTAGAGGACTTGGCAGGATTAAGACACCTGCTAGTATGTTTCAGGGGCAGAAACTGAACTCAGGTCTTCCTGATTCCAAGGCCAATTCTCTCTATATACTACTTACTTCATGCTGCCTCTCAAGATTTTTTAAAACTGTACGTAAAAATATTTTATAAAGAAATATAAGAGTTGACATTTACCTAATTGTACGCTGAAATATCACATGGGCCACAATGAACAGAATGAAGGGATGACCACCCAATATAAAAGTCTCAAAGGATTTTACTGATTGCTCCAAAGCTACCATACTTTTCTGTGAATAGCCTTCCTTTGACGTAGTAGCTGGCAATGGTCAACTTATTTTAGTAAAGTTTAAATATACTCTCCCACTAAATGAAAGTTTTAGGAATGGAAAACTCATAGACAATTCAGTGTTTCTCTCTTAACACAATTCAATAACAAAATCTCTGCTTTCTGAACTTTGAAAAATGCCTCAGCTGTAAGCTTCTTTCAAATGGAGTATTTGGATGTCTTTAAAATGTCTTTTTAAAAAAAACCTAGAGAACACATATTCAGGAGATAAGGCCATTTTAACAATGTACAAATTAAGTTACCTACTTTTATTTTAATTTTTAAAATAAAATTGGTGGATATACGGTTTCAATAAAGAGGCTCCAAGAAAATCAGACTTCAATTTTAAATTTAGTTTTAAGATAAATAATCAGCTATACATATACAATGCAAAGGAAGCCTAAAAATAAATATAAATAATAATAATCAATAAAATAAATAAATAATGAATAATTTAATTACAATTTAATTAAAAAATCAAAAAATAAATAATTGATAATAAATAAAAAATGATTAAGTTTTAAAATAAAATTTATCATGCTATTTCTAAATTCCTCCCTCCCTCTCTCTCTAAACCATTAATGTAATTGTGAAATTGTGGCAGACTCAGTTTATTTTTACACCTAGAGGCATACTATGCTAAATTAATGCAGGAACAGGTTTACAAATGGTTAAAAAAAACTGTACATGTACCCACACAGCTCACTTAATTGTCCTCTTAGATCTTAACTGTAAAAATGAATGTGTTTAAAGAAATGTTTCCTTTAATTGGCATTCTTGTAGAATGAAGTATTCCATGTATCTGAACTCCAGACACCTAAGGCTTAATCCTTTAAAAGTGCCAACACTTATCATATTGCTTGCCTATGGCTGATGATAAAATGAATGTTTAAAAAAGTGCCAACACTCCTTAAAGAAAACGTTTTTGAAGGGAATTCTTTCAAAAATGTGTTCCACATTTCCTTGTCTTACTAACAGTATATGCTTATCAAAATGTACCTATTTCAGGGGCAGCCATCAGTATAAAAATTAATTACTGCACTACAGTCTAATACAGCAGATCCCTCAAAGGCTTTTGAATTATGTTAAACATCCCCAGAATGCTAAGCTTTTATAATAAGTTTTTCCTGCTTTTCAAAACTGTATCCTTCCCAAGTTTTCACTGTTCCCAAATAGCGTTAAATCCTAGCATCCCCCTTTAATGTTTCTCATCTGTAAATAACCAAGCTTTAAATGAGCACCCCACGTGCATGGGCTTTATGACAACTATTTTCCATCTTGACTCAGATGAGTTCTAAATGGTTGAGGTTGGCAGGCAGGGTATTATGGTACTGTTTATATTCCTGATGCCCAGGTATAGTTGTTCTGAAATAGGAGATGAAGAGTCTTATTTTGCCTCTACCACAGTCTAGGTGTATAGCCTCAGGCCAGAACTATGATTCAGCTTCCTCATCTTCTAAATTATCTTAAGGTCCTTTCCAACTCCAAAATTTGATGCTCTATGAGGTCCCATATGTTTTTCTGCCCTCCCTACACTCTCCCATCTCTCACTCCCCCTACCAAGGCAGCCTTTAAGTGAAGTTCCTGTCGTTACTTTTGTAAAGAATAGTGACAGAGGGTTATAAAAGAAAGGGAAAAAGGTAAGAACGACAGGGAACTCACCTGCAGCTGATTCCCCTATGGGTTCATGATTCAGGGCTGCCCAGTCAAATCAGATTTCCCTTCTCCAACTACTGTCACAGTAGTGGAAGGAACTGCGCTGAGTGGCAGTGATTTTTCAATGCAGGAAGCATTATAAACAGTAGGGACTGACAGTGGCAGCATACCCTCCTTTGCACATGAAGGAAAGGAGACTTTCCTGGATATTTCATAGATATCTGTGAAAAGGATGGGACAAATGCTTAAAAAAAAAAGCCCCTACATCATTACTGATGTTTTTCAAGTGCCTACATAAAAATACAACCTCATCATCTAACTAGGGAAACTAGGTGGTGCATGGATAGAGTGCCAGGCCTGGAGGCAGGAGGAGTGGAAAGGATTGAAATAACTAATAACAAAATAGACAAAATCATCTAACTACTAGAAGAATTGTTTTAGGATTAAATAAGAATTTTAAAGTACTGAGACCACATGGTATTCCTTGATACAGTTATATGGAAAAGAGAAAAAGAAAATCACCTCCTCATGGAAGAAAAAAACTCATGACTGCTAAAAATGAAGCAATGCATGGGTAAAAATTCCTAGGGCTTGTTAACACACACACACACACACACACACACACACACACACACACACACACTTCCACATGGGTGTCAGAGGATAGGCAAGGATAAGGGACTACAGGCATGAAGTTAAGAGAAGTTGCAATGCTAGAGTAAAAACAGCAAAGGGTAAGAAGCCAAGAGAGCAGAATGAGGTGGAGACTTGGACTGGCTTGGAAAAATCACGGACCTTCTTTTGCCTCAGTTTCCCCATATTCAAAAGCGGAGGTTTAATGTCTCTAAGATTCCTTCTCGCTTTATTTGTCTAGGAAAATATGTGACTACATAGAAGCACTGTCATATGGAACTCAGAATGAGAAGAGGGATGTTGTGTGTGCATATGTATATGTATGCCTATATCCACATGTATGCGTCCACATAGATATATAAACATGTATAAGTCTGCTAAAAGAATAGAACAAATTCATACCTCAGCATCATCAGATTATAGAAAAATCAATATTTTATATATCACAGTGGTGTGATTACTAATTAGAATCAGAGTATTAATCCACTTGTGATTTTGTGAATGTTTTACACAAAAGATTAACGAATACTGAAAAAATCAGGTGATAAGAGAAAAAAAGTGTTCTAAGTCCTACAGACAGCCTTTATAGCTAGTTTCGGGCAGCTAGGTGGTACAAGGGGTAGAGTGCAGAGCTTGGACCCATCTTCCTGAGTTCAAATCTAACTTCAGACACTTAGTAGATGTATGGCTCTGGGCAAGTCACTTAACTCTGTTTGCCTCAGTTTCCTCATTTGTAAAATGAGTTGGAGAAGGAAATGGCAAATCACTCCAGTATCTTTGCCAAGAAAACCCCAAATGGGATCACAAAGAGGTGGACATGACTGAAAAATGACTGAGCAACAGAGGTGGTTTTAGGTTGTTATTATAAAGTAAAAGGTTATTATTTCCCATCTATACTTAGACACAGTAATTATTATCACTGAGGGATCAGAATCCTCCATCCATGCACATTCATACTACATTGCAGGATTTCCTTATCGACACTGAAAAATAAATGGTTGTGTGAAATATCAGAGTGAACAATAATATTTTTTGACTAAGTAACAGGTTCATATGAACAGAGTCCCACCCTTACTGAAGGTCTAAGGTTTCCAATACCTGCAAATGTAAAAATCCTCAAATTGAATATAAATGGAATCATTATGGTAAGAACTCCACTACCTGGGGCCTCAAACTTTTATAGGTGTTTCATGAGTTGGATAAAGCAAGGAACAGGGAAAGAATTAACACAGTTTGGTCTAAGGAAGTTACATATTTGATGTTGGTTTTCTATTACTACTACTAATAGCATTGTTAATAATAATTCACATATATAGCATTTTAAGGATGACAAGGCATTTCTTCCACAACAGTCCTATAAAGTAGGTGATGCAGGTATTCTTTTCTATTTTACAGATTAGGAAACTGAGGCTCAGAGAAGCTAAATGGTGGACCACAGCTACAATGTTTAGTGAATGAACTCAAGCCTAGGTCTCAGCTTTTATTCTAGGTTCCTTCTTTGCGTTATGCTGTCTTTAAGAAATAAAGGGTGATAACATAAATAAATTAAGGAAGCATGGAAATATGTCCCCATCAGATCTGTGCATAATGGAAGAGTTTATGACCAAACAAGAGACAGAGAAGATCATGGGAAGTAAAATACGTAATTTTGATTACATAAAATTAAAGGGCTTTTGAACAAACAAAACCAATGCAGCCATAAATAGAAGGAAAGCAGGAAACTGGGGAAAAATGTACAGGAAGTTTCTCTGATAAATGCCTCATTTCTCAAATATATAGGGAACTGAGCCAAATTCATAAATATAAGAGCCATTCCCCAGGGGATAAATGGTCAAAGGATATGAAAAGGCAGTTTTCAGAAGAAGAAATCTAAGTGATCAACAGTCACATGAAAAAATGCTCTAAATCACTACTGATGACAGAAATACAAATTAAAACAACTCTAAAAAGTAAAAACTTGGATCTATCAGATTGGCTAACATGAAAGAAAAAGAAAAAGATAAATGCTGGAGGGAATATGGAAAAATAGATACATTAATGAACTGGCAGAGTTGTTAACTGGTCCAAATATTCTGGAGAACGGTTTGGAACTATGTCCAAAGGGTGATAAAACTGCATATCCTTTGACTCTGCACTATCTCTATCAGGTCTTTATCTCAAAGAGATCAAAGGAAAGGGAAAAGGACCTATATATACAAGAATATTTATAGCAACTCTTGAGGTTGGGAAAGAATTGGAAATTGAGGGGATGTGTTTCAATTGGAGAATAGCTAAACAAGCTGTGGATTGTGATGGAATACACTGTTTTGTAAGAAATGACAAGCAGGATGGCTCCTGAAAAATACTGGGAAGACATATATGAACTGATGCAAAGTGAAGTGATCAGAACCAGAATAACACTGTATACAATAATAGCAATATTCAATTGATCAACTGTGAAAACAATCATCTAAGACAATTCCAAAGTACTCAAGATGAAAAACGCTATCTACCTCCAGAGAGAGAACTGAGGAACTTTGAATGCAGTTGAAGCATACTTTTTTCCCCTTTCTTTAATTTCTTTCTTTTTATTGTTTGTTTGTTTTTGCAACATGGCTAATATGGAAATATATCCTGCATGACTTCATATGGATAATCTATACTATACTGCTTGCTTTCTCAGTAGGTGGGCATGTGAAGAAGGGAGAGAATTTAGAACTCAAAATTTAAAAATAAATTTTAAAAGAATGTTAAAAGTAAATTAATTAAAAATAAAGGATAGGAAGATGAAAAAATATTGTAATGAACTTTGACAAACTCAACTCCTTAATACAAAGTGCTTCAGAAGTAAGGCTAAAAGTGAGTCTGAGCATTCCAGGGCTTTTTCACATCAATATTATAATCCTTTGATATGACTAGAACTTTTAAATATCCTTAGCTTTGAAAGAAACACAAGCTTTATCCAAAAAAAGTCTGCTTTTTACAAATTTGCAGAAATTGTGAAAAAACTAAAGCTTTTCATTTTAAAAAGGCCATCACTGGATTTTTTTAGGCTTCAAATAGCAAAGTGACAGAGTTTCCATTTGTTTATAATAAATAGCAAATTATACATTGCTTTTATTTGATTTTCTCACATTCATCAGAAGATAGTATTAAGTTGTCAAGAATTTTCATGGAATATAGATTTATACATATGTACCTTTGTGAAGCCTAATCCTACCCACCCCCACCCCCCAGAAAAAAAGAGAAAAATAAACTATTTTCCTTTTTAGCAAAATTACTTTTTCACTGAATACCTAAATAAGTTTTAAATGAAATCGTGTATTTATTTTAAATCTCTCTAGAAGGTCAACACAAGAACTAATTTAAGTGTAGAATTTTTGATTGACCCAATTTGTAAGATTACCACTAGAATAGCTTCCTGATGTGTTTGCAGTAGTAATCTCTATACTTCTGCATTTACCTTAGGTCATTATCTAGATGAATTTTAAAAAGACAAAAATAAGATATAAATACTACAGTGAGCATTTACCAGATGATATTTTATTAGTAATGCTGATACTACCATAAAAAATGCCTAGGGGCCTGTGGTATGGGAAGTTGACTATTAGGTTCTGCTTTTCTACGGAATTTCTGCTAAATCTGGTCTCAGAAACTTTGTGATTGGGCAATAAACGAGAGCCCTAGTGTCTCCATTTCTAACTTCTTTAAACAAAAACAAGCTGCTCAACACAACATTTAATCCACACATCACCTAATCCTGCTTAATACTCCAAAAACTCCGGGTAATATTTGGGTAGTTTTTAAATTTAGCAAGAACATCCTGGCCTATTTCAAAGACCTTTTTTTCTCCCACCACTCTGCATCCCCCCTAACCCCTAATATAGTCTATCAGTGCTTTTTGAAAACTTGAAAGAAATAAAAGCCAGGGAGTCCCACATTAATATAAGCTGGTCCCTTGGCATGGCAGTAACAGATGGTAGTGTAACTCAGAACTAGGTTTACTGAAGGATTCTTCAACAACAGAGAAGGGAATTTGTGATGATGAAATAGATTTCAGTCCCTCTTCTAGAATGACCCTATATCACAATGCTGGGCAGTGTATATAACTCCACAAACTCTATCCCTCACTCTGGAGATAGCAAGATTGCACATCAATAAACTGTGTCGTTGTAAGAGACCTGGGTGCGTGTGTACTTACAGTACATCTTTATTTCCTTTAATTTGCTTTTATTCAGCTTCAAAAGTAAATAAATCCACTACCAGGAGAAATTTCCTTTTTTTCCAGGAAAGGAAAAGTTTTATCGCTACCTTAATAACTTTTACTGAAGGGGAAAAATATCCCCCTATTTTGTTTACCCTGTGAGGCAGACAGTCTCCAATCATTAGCCTGTTGTCAACAGTGATGCTGGGGTAGATTACTAGTGTGTATTGCTTGTAATGGCAGGTGCATGGCCCTGGGGCTGCCATCTGCTAGGAAGGAAGTATTCTCTTCTAGGATGCTGAAGAGACTGACAGCTAACGTAAACAAAACACTGAGTCATCTATAATAAACAGAGTCCATATAGGAGACTTCTAGGCACTTTTCTCTATACATACAACATTCACT